AAACGGTTCGATGATAATAATAATAATAATAATAATAATAATAATAATAATAATAATAATAATTATAAATTCATAATGAGTTTACAGGTTGTCATTGGGTTCGCCAAAGTGAAACCCCCAAAGACAGATGTCGGCATTGATCATCCATTTAAGGACCTCAAAAATAAAAATTATTCAGACAGAAATAAATTCCAAAAAAAAAAAAAAAAGAAATAATAATGATGATGATAAAACCTTGTGCACATATAATAACAATAATAATAATTATTAACGCAAAGGAAATCAAATAAAATCACAAAGTGATTGCACGCTTCCATCAATCAACCGTAACCCCAACCACGACAACGGTCCGACAACGATTCGACAACCGTTTCAAACAATCCACCGATCCCGTCGGTTTTTTTTTCTCTTTTTTTTCCTCTCTTTAAAAAAAAAAAAAATTATTCAAGGACGGTGGTAACGTCTTCGTCTAAATTATTATTATTATTATTATTATTATTATTATTATTATTATTATTATTATTATTATTATTATTATTATTATTATTATTTAACCGAAAAACAAAAGTATTTAAACTCTATAAAAAAAAAAAAAAAAAAGTTACTGAATTTGGTAAAACGCAAATTCCAATATCGACGACAACCTTCGTCGTGACTCAAACTCACACATTCGAATCCAAATTACGACCAAAAATGTTTCGTTTTTAAACTTAAACTTATTATTATTATTATTATTATTATTATTATTATTATTATTATTATTTTAATATTCAAGCGTGTGTAAATTATCATCATTATTTTTTTTTTTTTCGACACGCCACCCAAAAAAAAAAAAAAAATTGTAAACTTATTCGCAACGTTTTAACGTTCATAAAGCGATCGAATTAAAAAGAAAAAAAAAGAAAAAAAAAATTTATTAGAAACAACGACCCTATGTTTTGTAATTCAAGAAGTCACAAAAATGGCGGAAGCCGACTCATTTCGAACCGCTTTCCGCCACTGCCGCCACCATTGCCGACGCCGCCATTTCGACCGCTATCAATAAGTTATTTTCCAATCGGATATGATTCGGCGAACCATGAAATTAATGTTCAAACAATCAACCCAACATTATCTCGAGAAATGTTTTTTATTAGATTTTTTTTTTTTTTTTTTTAATAAGTAAAATAATACGTCGTCGTGTGAAATTTAAAAATTAATATTATTATTATTATTATTATTATTATTATTATTATTATTATCGTATTTTATTAAAGAAATTAAATTAATGGTGTGAAAAACTTACGAAAAATCAATAATAAATCCGCGAAAATCGATTCTTCTTTACCTGTATTGATAAAAAAAAAAACGATCGTTAAACGATTACACACACACAAAAAAAAAAACAAAATTTTGATGCCACGTTTCCCTTCCTGCCCCCTCCCCCCCAAAAAAAAAAAATATCCCAACAACAATTTTTCCCAACACGTAAAAACGCCTTAAAAAAAATGTTTAGATTATTTCAAAACACGTTTTGAAAAAAAAATAATTGAATTTTTCGTCACCACCTTCGTACGAACCAAACAAAAAAAAAATTTAATTACTTAATTAATTAAATTGAAAAAAAAATTACAATTTAATTTAAATTTTTACTAAAATTTTATACATTTTTTTCGTTTAACCTAAAACTTTGACCTTCCCCTTCCCCCCGCAAAAAAAAAATTCTAGACGTTATTAATTTATAAAAAAAAAAAAATAGGAATTTCGCATTAGAAATTATTCAATATGTATCATTTTATTATTATTATTATTATTATTTTATTATATTCGCTTTTTGATAAAAATATAAATAATAATAATGATAATAATTTTTCTAGAATTTCGAGGTTTGTCGTTTGCATAATTTAAAAAAATAAATTATCAAGTGAAAGTCAATGTATGCATTGCATGTTAGGCAATGATAAAAAAAAAAAAAAAAAAAGAATTTTTTTCCATTTTTTTCTTGCTTTTTAGCATGAAAGCAATCAAGGAGAACGTAAATTTAAATCATCGACGTGGAACACAAAACAATAATTTAAAAACTCCCCGTGTTATGAAATTTAAAAAAAAAAAAGAAATTTCCCTTTAAACAAAAAAAACAAAACAAAAATTTAAACAGAAAATTTAAAAAAAAAAAAAAGAAAAGAAAAATCATTTTTTATTCTCGTTTAGTTTTCCCCATTTGATATTATAAGGATGAAAAACTACTTGGCAGACATCTTACATCTTACATTAAACTTTTTCTAGATTTTTCCCGCTATGGGGGCGAAGAAGGGGGGGGGGTGGTGGTAAACTTAAGGGAATGATAAAAAAAAAAACGTTACGGTTAAATGTTTGGATGAGAGCCAAACGAGGGAAACCGAATTGTTAAACAATAAATAAATAAAAAAATAAAAAAAATTATTATACGAAAAGTAAATTTTAACTTTTTAAAATTTCAATAATGTTACTTACAAAAGTTTTTTTTTTTTTTTTTATTATTTGTGGAAAATTTTGTAAGAACGAAAAAAAATTATTAATAATTTATATATATATACGATTTTAAAATTTAACGGTTTTAACTCTTTGGTTAAAACGTTAAATAATTTATATAGAAATTATTTTATATAATTCCTCTCCATATTTTTTCTCTCATCCTAAAAAAAATTTATGTTTCATTGTTTTGATTGTAATATAAATTAAATCATTAATTATGGTTGTTGTTATTATTAAGAATGGTGAAAGTGAAATTATGTTTTGTTTTATTTTTCGAATTCCGCATTTTTCATTTTTTTACCCTTAAAATTAACAAACTGTGATAAAATATTTGCCCGTAATAACATTCGAGTTTTTTAATATTGATTATTTAAAAGAAAATTCGATTTTTTTTAAAAACTATAAAAGTCGACTTAAATTGCAAATACTAATTTTTTTTTTTTTTTTTTTTTTTCAAAACAATTAATTATTATTATTATTCGGAGGTTCAAACAACATTTTTTAACTCCACCCATTGACCTAAAATTATTTTAAAAATCTGATTTAAAAAGAAAACACGCGTCTGATTTGCATTTTCTTTTCTCGGTTCATATATTTTATTGTGGAAAACAACGTAATTAAATTCAAAAAAAAAAAAAAAAAAAAAAGAAATTCATTGAATTTTAAATTTATTTGAAGTCAAAAAAATTAAGGGTTTGAAAGGGATTTCCCCCCCTCTCCCCTGCCCCCCTCTCCTCTAATTAAGCGGTTATACCCTCTTAACCTTTTTTAATTTTTATTTTCGATACAAAAATAAACTATTGCCACGATTACGGTTAACTAACTCACGACGAAATAATTTAGAAAAAATATTAAAAAAATCATGCATTTCATTAAATTCTTCGAGCTAGTAAATATTTTTAAATAAATTAATTATTAAAAATTACATTAAATTATTTATTAATGATTTATTTTTATAATCAAATGAATTTATAATTAATAAATTTTTTTCTTTTAACCCAGACATTTTAATTTGCAAAAAAAAAAAATGTTTTATTAAACAGTTAATGAAATATTTTTACTGATATTAATAATAAAAATTTTAATAAAATGAACTTTAATAAAAAAAAAAATTTATTTTAAATATTAATTTATTAATTTTTTTAAAAAATATTATTATTTATTAATGAATACTTTTTTATTAAACTTTTCGAATATAATTCTTTTTCGCAGAATAAGAAAATTATGACTGAATGTTAATAATGAAATTTATAATTTTTAAATCAATACATTATAAAATATTGTATCAAGTAGTATGTAAGCAAATATTGTCGATGTTAATTTTAATAGTTTTTTAGTTTTCGACAATTTTATAATAATTTTGATTGTGATTTTTATTAAATAATTTATTTCGAGTTACGATAAATTACAATTTATAATTTGTATGATTTTTTTCAATTAATTTCTAATTAGTCAATAAATCCTTGTCAAAATATAACATAATGTAAAGAAATAAATTAATAATTGTGCATAATAAGAATGCTTTTTCTTTTTTAATGAGAAAACTTTCGATTATTAAAAAACAAATTATGGTATATTAGTAATTTCATTTATACAAATACCTGCCACATTATATGTCATGCAGTTGTGCATTGAAAACCTTTATGAGAATCTCAATATAACATTTTAATATTAATTTTTAATTTTTGAAATGCATACAACGATAAATAAAATTTATGCAAGTAAAAAAATTATAAATAATGATAAATTCGAATGTTATCTGATGAAATCAATTAAAAAATGCCAAAAACGAAAAAAATCATTTATGTAAATGTTGAAAAAGTAACTTAAAATCCACACGATGTACAATCAAAATGATTATTTTTGTGACTTACATTAAAAACAAACTTGTCTCAAATACATAAAGAAAAAAGTAGGCATCGAATTGATATTAAAATCATACCTGTTGTTAATTTGGCCTAATTATATTTCCATTAAAAACCGTTACTACACAAAACCGACAGAGGTAATACTACGAAAATTAGTACGAAATAATTTTATTTTGAAGGTTAAATAACACTAATACAAAATGACACTAAATTAAATAAGGATTTATATAAACGGGACGTTTATTTCTACAAAAATAATACTAAATGTAATACAATTAAAAGTAATAAATAACTCAGAATACATAAAAACACGAGTTTAGTTACATTATTCACAGAACTTCACCGAACGCCATTTGTACTAATTAATAAAAATCAAAAAAGCATCTTAATGAGTTATTATTTTTTCAAAAAATTTTTAATAAATTACATTTTTTCTAAGTATTAATATTTATGTAATGTTAAACTGTATTTTAATATTGAAAAGTGATTAGTTAAAAATCAAAAATTCAAAAATTATGCTTAAAAAGAATAATGAAAGTTTCCGTTTCCGATTACTCGACTGTTCATTCACCGTGCACCGGCCATGTCAATCTAAGACTGCGTACCCTTGTAGTTTTAGTTGGTAGTTTACAGTAAATTATGGCGTTTGCTTATTATACCCGAAATTTAATTTTGCGAGGAGTCTGCTGTGTTTATTTTTTTGCATTTTTATCCTTTTATCTTCAAATACCTGGTAAGTTATCTATAAAAAGCATGTCGAGTAAACTGTGAGCGTTAACTTATTTAAATTATTTCTTTTGAATGATTTACTTAATATATTGTTAACTTTCTACTTTATCGGCTTCGATAATTAATTAGACATTATAATTACTTAAAACCAATTAAATACACAATATACATATCGTATTTGAAGCTATCGGCTTTTTCTTCTGAGCCCTCCTCTTCTTCATAGCAAGAAGCTACAACATGCTTAAGCCTGGTTTCAAATGCCATTAAATTCTCTAATTTATCACACAAAGTATATTTTAATACTTTTCTCTTTTTTAAAATTTTGAGTTTTTTTTTCATTTGTTGTTTTTTTTTTTTAGGTTTATATGGAAACAATGGAATTTTACCGGCAAGAAGTCAACTAGAAGATTTAAGTTCACGAACTTTGGCAGAAAAATTTCATAAAAAGCCCACACTCTTATGGCTGGCCCCATTTTTAGGTTTAAACACTGAATACATGATGGATGTGCTTTCTTTGCTTGGAATAGTGTTATCTTTTGTTGGTTTCCTTTCTGTTAAGTTCAATATTGCACCCACCTTCATTTCTTTATGGTCATTTTATTATTCATTATATCAAGTTGGGCAAACATTTATGTGGTTTCAATGGTAATTAAGGTTACAAAAAAAAAAGTAATTTAATTTAATTTTTGTATTTGTTTTTGTAATTTAATATTCAATTTCATTTTTAGGGACATATTATTGTTAGAAGTAGGCTTTCTCTCAATATTTGTGGCTCCGTTTCTACATAATTCTCACAATAAAAAATGGATTTATACTCCAGCTGACAATGTTACTTTTTTCTTGGTTAAATGGTTGCTCTTCAGATTCATGTTTTCATCAGGAATTGTTAAACTTCAGAGTAATTGTCCAACTTGGTGGGGTCTCACTGGTAAGTATAGTCAATTATAATTAATAAAAATTAAATTTTTAAATTTTGTGACTGAATTGAAATATAATTTTTTTATTTCAGCTTTAAATGTTCACTTTGAATCTCAACCACTACCACATTTTGTTTCTTGGTATATGCATCACACTCCGAATTGGTTTTTAAAATTGGGAACTGTTTTCACTCTCATTGTCGAGCAACTAATGCCATTTTTGTTTTTTTTCCCTCTTCGTTCAGTGAGACAAATGGGATTTTTCTTTCAAGTGTTCCTTCAACTTATGATAATATTCACGGGAAATTATAATTTTTTCAATTTATTGACCATAGTGCTTTGTTTCTCTCTTTTAGATGATAGATTCTTTTATCCTTCTAAAAAGAGTAACTTTTTTAAATTTTACTTTTATTTTAATATTTAAAAAAAATGGTAGCCATTTAATAATTCTTTTTTTTTTTTTTTTTAGAGAAACCAACTTTTACTCAAAGATTCTTTTCTTTAACACTTAATATATTGGTTCATGGTTTTCTTTTGTACATTGCAAATGTTTATTATTCTGTACGATTGAATTCGAAATGGACGATTGATTCAGAAATAACATTTACAAAAGCTGAATTTGATCAATTTGTTGCAAAAGCAGTACCAGCTGGGATTTATATTGGAGGTGTTTCATTATTAATCGTTTCCATTAAGGCTTTGTATCTATCATTCAGAGTTCGTGGATCAAAGGTGAAAACTCTATTAGTAACATTAATATATATAGCTGCTGCAATTTTTCTTTTTGGAATTTCTCTGGTACGTTTTTTAACGATAGAATAAATTTTTAAAATTATTAATGCAATCAATTCCATGATATTTTATTTTCATTTTATTCATTTCAGGTACCATATTCGGTTCTTCACAAATCCTCCAATTCTACAATAATTCCTTCATTGAAAAGAACTTATCATCGTCTTGAACATTTACAAATTGTCAATTCTTATGGATTATTTCGTCGCATGACCGGTGTCGGTGGAAGGCCGGAAGTTATAATCGAAGGTGCAAACGATCTTAAAGGCCCTTGGTACGAGTATAATTTTAAATACAAACCTGGAAATGTAAACTCCTCATTACCTATTGTTGGTAAGTTGAAAAAAATTTTTGTTTTCCAGTTAGTTACAAATATTGTTCACTTTAATTTCTCCGATTTTATTTCTTTTTAGCTCCATACCAACCAAGAGTTGACTGGCAAATGTGGTTTGCTGCTTTGGGGACGTATCATCAGAACCCTTGGCTTATGTCTACGGTTTACAGACTTTTAGAGGGTGAAAAAACAGTCTTGCAACTTTTAGACATGAATAAATTGCCATTTTCCAAACCACCCAAGTATATTAAAGGTAGTTTGTATCTTTATCATTACACTCCTTGGAGCCAAAGGTGAGTTTTCAGTAATAATAAAACAAAAAAAAAAAAGACAAAGGGAGAAAGAAACATGCAATTGTATTTGATAAAAACCTTTGATATTTTTTAGAAAACAACCCATGTGGTGGAAACGTGAAAACGTGGGAGAATATTTTCCAATATTTTCAAAGGACCAATCATCGTTAATTGATTACCTTAAAACTTATAAAATATTGCAAAGCAAACAAGCAAAAGCAGCCGATGACAAACTGGTTTGTAATTGGATAACGATTGTTCTAGATGGTCTAAGAAATAGTGTTGGACGTGTCGATGGTGTTTTGCTCTCTTGGTCCGTGATTTCCGCATATACAATTTTATGCATAACTTCTATTTTCACTCATAAGTCAACCAATACAAAGGAAAAAGCTTAAATTTTGATATTTTTAATAAAAAAATAATAATAACATACATTTTGTTTAATAAAAAAAAAAGAAAAAATTTTTTAACACAGACTGAATAAAAAAAA